AGTAAGATTTTAGTYAATTAAAACGGTATTGTATGCAACAATTTACCCGGTAAGCGTTAACAGTGGTAAGAGTTGTCGCATTCACTTACCGTGTAAGACTTTTGGTCCTCGTCATGGCTCTTTTCAGGTAATATTCTCGATTTTTGTTATTTTCATTCGATAAGATAAAATGATCGATTTTTCTTTATAAAAAACGTAATTAAAATCAATTTTATCGAACAATTCGAAATTGATACAAAACATCCACAATACTTTGTAAAGTGGTGTAAACGTTTGCATCCATTCGCATCTAGGGTTCATTGAGTAAGTTGTTTGTACGGTGAAACTATTTGTCTCTATTTTAGGATTTTAACATACATTAAAACATAGATGTTGAAGAAAAAAAAATCTTTAAAACCATCAAAATCCTTATTTTAATATACTCTACGCACACACACCCCCCTACACACGTATGTATATATATATATATATATATGTGTGTGTGTGTGTGTGTGTGTGTGGGGGGGTGTGTAGGATCATGTGAAATGTAGAGTTAAAGTGAGAAGCGATCTAGATCTTTGATCACCTTTAATTTCAAACTCACTCATGAATAGCGTTTGATACGTGGATTGATATGGTGCATCTCATCCATCCAAATGAGATCTCTTCTTACACTTCTCACACTTCTCACCCTAACTCTCATTCCCATCGGAACCCATCTATCTCTCTCTCTCTCTCTCTCTCTCTCTCTGTGTGTGTATGTGTGTGTGTATCATGCATACAAGTGTGAAGATTCCTTATTACGCTTTTCATCTTAATATTTTTCCTCATCGGAACCCAACTCTCTCTCTCTCTCTCTCTCTCTCTCTCTATATATATATATATATATATGTGTGTGTGTGTGTGTGTGTGTGTATTGTGAACTCTAAAAAGTGACTTAGTCATTCATACGATCAAGATCGGATTTGACTGGTCAATAATTACAACTTTGATTGGTCAAAAATTTTTGTTATACGAAAAATTTGATATGATAGTTTTGTAACTTTTACAAATATGTGGCAAATGAGTTCATATATGAACCGTAAATCACATATGAATTATATGTTCATATGTAAACTTGTGTAATTCAAATATGAACAATTTTAACTGATTCACATATGAACTAATTAATTGATTCGTATATGAACCTTTCTGGTTCACATATGAACAAATTAATTATTTCATATATGAACATGTAGATTCATATATGAATCAGTTAAATAATTCACATATGAACTGATTAATGGGTTCACATATAATTCATATGTGTATCACATGGGTTCACGTATGAACTTGTTTGCCACTTATTTTGTAAAGGTTACGAAACTACTATCTATCTTCTGCATACTTATACGATGAATTATCCGGTGCTTCACGGTTAAAGATGCAGATGTTGACCAGATGAACCTTATATATATATATATATATATATATATATGAACATTCAAATAAAAACCACTCAATTTGTAAAAACCGTGAAAACCTCATTCAACCAATCATAATTTTTTTTATTTTGTTCATTTTTTTGTAATTATGAGAGGTTGTTTAACCATTTTTATTGTGTAGGGTGTTAATCATGGATATTATCATCTTCATTATTTTAATTTTAGAGAAATACATGAAACAATTTCATTAAAATTTTATTAAATATTATATGAAACAATTTCATAACCATATATGAAACAACTTCATCAAAAAAAGTATTAATTTCACAAGATTAAACAATTTCATGAAAATATTTCATAAGATTAAACAATAAAATCGACGTATGAGGGTGGTTTGTACGGTTTTTACAAATGAGGGTGGTTTTCATTTGATCGCTCCTCTTTCTCTCTCTCTCTCTCTCTCTCTCTCTCTATATATATATATATATATATATATCTTTGTTATCTCTTTTTGCAATGTAATCAAACAAGATTCGAGCATCATTGTCTAGATATAATTTCACTGTATATTTTACGTTAAAGTAAATTACACTGGTTGTCTTTGTGGTTTACTCAAATTTTGGATTTGTTTCTAAAACAAACTTTCTATACTAATGAGCCCTAATTTTCAATTCATAACATTCAAAATCCATGAAATTAAAATCGTCAATTAAGAGTCATTAAATAGGACAGATCAGCTTTTAGGTCAAATAAACGTACCAAACGTGCAATTCACTCTTTTATGTATGCCTTGTTCATATGAGGGTCCACTTTTTGATAACTTCGTCTTGAATCCTCCATGCATTCAATCAAAAAGGTTGATATTTATGTCACACAAGTAATCGCTTTGGGTTTATTAATATCCACGTGTCCTTGAGAAAAAAAAATTAAAAACTAATGGTTTTTTGTTTATCTTTTAATAGTTCTATTAATAGGCAGCATTTGAATTGTTAAATGGTGAATCTTGTTTGGCAAAAAAAAAAGTATGTCTCTTAATGRTTCTAAATCTCTCTGAATGATTTTGTATCATGGATATCTCTTAACCATTCAGTGCCATAATTTCATTGTAAATAATTACCAAACAGTTGCATTATATCATGAGAGTCTCTTAATCATTCTGACCACTTAATCATTCAGCACCAAACCATTCAACAATTGTCAAACAACCTCTAAACAATTCTTCTAGAAAACTAATATAACACAAATGCACGTATGTTTGAAATAGAAATTCAAATCCAAATTAGAATCGAAGTTATTTTGAAGAGTTTTGGTATGTTTGATTCGTAGGAATTGAAAAGATTTTGAAAAATTTAGAATCTAATCCCATGATTATTTTGTAAGATTGTTTTTTTTTTTAATCCATGAAACGTAGAATTTTTAAATCCCACATGATTGGTTGGGATTTTAGGAGATCTTGTGCATTTGTATGAAAACGACGTTTTTAATAACTAATTAATAAAAATTAATTTGATTATTATTATAATTATTTATAATTTATTATAACAAATTATCATAAATAAATAAATTTAATCTCGTTCCAAATCATTTTAAATCCAAATTTGTCGCTCAGAATCATTTCACCAAATCATATCAACCCCTCTTTATTTTTGTGAACTGGGACGTGAAAAAGTACCCGACAAAAAACTATTCGGTTGAAAAGTTTGTTTTTTTTTCGGGTCTCTAAATTTTCTTTTTCGAGGAAATCGCAAAGAAAAATCAACCGTTCTAGAAGCTTTGACAACAATTAGTTGAAGATATTAATATCGAGTTCAATGCAAGTAGAAAGTAAATAACAAATTGGGGACCATTTAATTAAACGTTTATCTGGTGAGTATTTATCAGATTAATTACTTTATTGGATGAGATAAAATTCATTGTTAAATAAAAATAAATAACAACGTAGGGACCATTTAAGTAAATGTTGATATTGTAGACACTTATTGGTCATTTACCTTATAGGATGAACATAACAAGTGTTGAGAATCTTACCTGGTAATGGCGCTGATAAGAATGGAGAGTTTTATCCGATAAGTGAGAGTGTATCCAGTAAGCGTTTGCTAGGTAAAATGTTGCACAAGATATCGGTGAATGAACTAGAATMTTACTCTACAAAGTAAGTTTAAAGTGTTGAATTTTATTGATAAGTGTTTAGGCGTTTAAATAAATGCCCCCTCACACTAGAAACATATACAGTAAAAAGCGTAAGAAAAGATCTAAACTTTTGATTACTTTTAATTTCATGTTCACCGATGAATTGCGCTTTATAAATGAATTGATCGGGTACATCTCGGTGCACCTCATCATTGGYAGACATTCAATTATGTTTGATCCAAGAGTAAAATCTCTTCTTACGCATGTCACCATAATTTCTTTTATCACCGAAACCCAACTCTATATATAKAGAGGTGGGTTTAATTGAAAACTCCATTTTTATTGTAAACATGAAGACCAATCTTAACCATTGATTAAAATTTAGAAAACTAAAATCGAGATGTATTTCGCTGCATTGTGCAAGTACTTTTATAGTATAACATAAACGCACTTAAGTTTAAACTAAAAATCCAAATCCAAATCCATTTTTTGGTACAAGAATCAAAGTTATTTTGAAAGACTTATTATTTTTTTGGAAGGGTGTTCTAAGCTATGCATAAACTAATCCCGATAAATTGTGATCATAAGAAATTAACCTTAATAAACCAAATGGTCACAATTGTTGTGTACATCTGAACTCAAACCCTAAACAAATGAGATTTTCTATTACATGCCTTAGGACCTTAACCAGTATACCACAATCCTTATAGTTAAAAAAAGTTATTATCTCTTTACTCTCTTTACTTGTAGCAATAAATTAATATATTTATTGCAAAAAAAAAATGATTAAAACAATAAAAACTATACAAAAATTGGACAAAAAAAATTAATTAAAATAACCATTTTGGACGCATAATTTTACCCATTAGTCATTTCTCTTCAATAATTACACAAATGTCAATATATCCGCAGTTTTTAGGTCCTCAATTCTAAACGACTAAAAAATGTTCAATTTTCATCTGTGTATGCAAAAAAAATGTTACATTTTTCACTCACATCCTCAAAAAATGTATTTTTCACCCACATCCGTAATTTCCAGTAACATTTTTTGTCGTTTAGCTAGGCCGACAAATTGCGGACCCAAAAATCACGAAGGCAGGGACATTTATGTAATTTCTAGAGAGAAAATGAGAAATGGTTAAGAATTAAAACCATAAGGTTAAAATATCAGTTTAACTTGAGAGGGGGTGATTTAATAGCAGTAGGTGGCAAGGTAGCTTTGTATTATTTGTACCACTAACTGGTTTGTTTATGAATGAATGCTCTTAAAACCCGTGACAACGTAAGAGGAAGTATTTCAATTAATTTCCCTGAAAAATAAGTACAATACAAAATTTTCTATGTAGACTTCACACAAATGCTCTCAGGACTATCGTATGCACCTTTTTCTTTCCTGCTCTCCAGTGGGCCCTCAGCTGTCGTCCATTTTCAAGTTACAATGCACTTTAGCATCCACTATAAACACATACATCCCCACATCCTCAACACACCAATCCAATGATGAACTCCACACCATTTCCTTCTTTCACCCAATCCCTCTCAAATTCATCCAATAAACCACTGATTTCATCTTTTCATTCTCATCCCTTGTTAAAATTCAACAATACCCATTTCAAAATAGCTCAGATTCCGATCCGGCCATCCACCAAAGCCTCCGCCTCCGCCGCGAACGGCTCCTACATTCCGGCGACGGATAAGGAGACACTGTATGACTTACTTGGTATATCGGAGACCGGGACGATCTCCGAGATCAAAAAGGCGTACAAGCAAATGGCGTTGAAGTACCATCCTGACGTGTCGCCGCCGGACAGAACGGAGGAGTACACCGTGAGGTTTATTCAGGTACGTGAAGCCTACGAGACATTATCCGACCCGGAAGCTAGATCCATGTATGATATGTCCGTGGCAAACGGATTGCCATCGGCTTTCTCGGGTAAAAGAGGAACCCGATCTGACCCGGGATCCGATGCTAAGAGGCGGTGGAAGGAGACGTGGGAAGGGCAGATATCGGAGCTGATGCGACGCAGCAGGGTGAAACCACAGAAAGTGGATACGGCGGGGGGGATGTCGTGGGCAGCCCGGATCCGGAAGCAACGGAGCACATCATGTGTTAACGGGTCGGATCAAGATCAATAATGGCGCCTTTGGCTCTATATTAATTTTTCTTAAAACTTTATTTAGGAGGTGAATATTTTTATTTTTGTGTGTGTTTAAAATTGTTAATATATTATAAAATGATTATTTAAGATCGTCTCAATCTATTATTTTAATGACCACAATTATATGAATTTATAGAGGAAATGGTATACAAATTGATGCCAATGCTATATAATATAATAAATTAAAATAGTCAATTTTGACTGATTTCACTCTTAAGGGCCGTTTACCTAAATGTTTACCCGGTAAGTGCTTAATGTTATGAGCCAACACTATAGTTTATTTTATTGTGTAAGTTTGTAGTACATCAAAACGTATCTTATGCAACAATTTACCTGGTAAGCGCTTACCCGGGTAAGAGTCGTCACCCTCACGTACCGGGTAAGACTCTCCATTCTTATTATCGCTATTATCGGGTAAGATTCTTGACCCTTGCCATTTTCATCCGGTGAAGAAAATTACCCGGGTAAGCGTTTAGTAAACGACCCCTTAGTCATTTTTCTTCTAAAATCACTAATATGCCTCTACGTTTGCAAGTCATGGAGAGGGTTAAACCGAAGAAAAAGAAAGGAAAATTTCTCAACTAGGTCCGCAAATTCAGTCATCAAATATGTAAATAGATGTGGGTCTGTAGGTCTGAGTTTAGAAAATTGGGGAGGTGGTTGGACTTATTTACAGATTTAGTCTCTATATTGATGGATCTGGTTTAGAATATATTTTTTTTTACCCTTTGATCCGGTTACAGATTTCGACCTACCACTTACAGTTCTAATGACATTTTGTTTATATTGGGAGAAAACTTGCTTAGAAATGAAACCAACATATAAAAATGGCAATTATAATTAATGACGCATAAGTAGAACACTGAATTTGTTATCACCAAAATAAAAATGAATATACTTGAAACATTCTTTATAAACAAAAAAGTTTTTATCCTAGCGGTATCGTAGCCTTTTTGAAATTTACCATAGGTGAAGAGGGTGTGTGAATTTATTTGTTCTATTTACTATATATAAATAGTATATATACTTAAAAAAAAACATTCTTTATAAGTGTAAAAAATAATGTCATTCATTAGATATTAGATATGAATTATTATCTTTTGGTGGAGGTGATAATGTAATGCAGTGGAGATAATTTACTGTTTTGCACCATTTTTTGGATCAAAACTGTACAAAAATTGGTATTTTACATTATTAATGGTTATATATGTCTTTTTTAAATCTAACTATTACTTATTAAATAAGTAGTATGTTCAGTGAAACTGATAAAATATTGTTGTAATTTTCTTATTTATATATCTGATAAATAAATAAGAATAATTTAGTAGATGAGCGATCGGATGCAAATCACTCATATTCGTATAAACGTGTAAACCACTCTTATCCGTCGATTTCATTGTTTAATCTTATGAAAAAATTTCATTAAATTGTTTAATCTTATGATATTGTCTCATATGATTTTTTTTTATGAAGTTGTTTCATATATAGTTATGAAATTGTTTCACATAATACTTATGAAATTTTAATGAAAATGTTTCATGTATTTTTCTAAACTTAATATAATGAAGATGATAATATCCATAATTAACACTCTTCACAATAAAAATGATTAATCAACATCTCATAATTACAAAGAAAAAATGAACAAAATAAAAAATTATGATTGTTTGAATGAGATTTGTCCAATTTATACAAATAACATGGTTTATAAAGTAAATCTCAAAAATTATTTTTAGCAAACATGTATTCATAAACTTTAAGTTTGGTACCAAAGGACATTTGGCCTAGCGGTATCGTAACCCTTGGCCTTCTAGAAGATCAGGGGTTCAAACCTCACCATAAGTGAGGAGGATGTGTGAGTTTATTTGTTGTATTTGCCGTATATAAATATTATATACTTAAAAAAAAAAACTTTTAAGTTTGATCAAGTGATTGAGACTTGTTAAAAACAAAATAAAATCGTGTTAGGTGAGTCAACTATTTAGGTTATATCTGCAAATCTTTTTAGGTATACCGGCACATGAGTTTATTCATCCTTTTATTAATACTATAAGGGTATTCGTATAATATAGTAAAATATATCTCGATTTTAATATTTCGTTTTATTATGTTACTTGTCGATGTTATAATACGGTTTTATTTGGTAATAAAATATAAATTTGAAGATATCTTAATCTTTTTTTAATATATATGGGTATTAGTATCAAATTAACTATTTAAAAGTTCTTGTTTTGTTGTGTAATTTATTTAATTTAATTTTTTTATTATAATTTAATTTAGGTTCAATAAGAAAGTTATTTATTTTTGATTTAATAGTATAATTTTTTATAAAGATAATAATTAATATTATGTTAGTACATAATAATTATCCTAATTATATTTTAGATTTTTTTATATTTAAAATGAAATATTTATCCAATATTTGGTTATGTTTATCTGTAGTTATTTACACGAATTCAAGCATTGATGTTTAATAAATTGTAATTATGCATTATTTATTTGTAATCTTGAATTTTAAGTAGTATGCATCAATGAAAAGTACTTCATATATAAAAAAATGGTTTTTAAGAGTTTTTATCAAATACTTTATAATATAATATTAATATAAAAACCATAGATTCAAGAGTAATTATATGATTCCTCCATGAGATTTACATGTTATAATGTCTCAAATTCTTTTTTTAAAATGATTATGGATTTGAATTGTATGGTCATCGACAAAATTAGGTTTAATGGTTTTAAAATCTTCTGAATGATTTTGTATCATGTGTTTTTCTTAACCATTCAGCACTCTAATTTGATTGTAAATAATTGCCAAACAATTAGATTTCATTTTGCACTATATCATGAGAGTCTCTTAATCATTATGACTAGGGGTGCTCATGGGTTGGGTTGATCAGACTGAAAACATTTGAACAACTCAACCCAATGTTTGCGGTTTGGAAAATCTTAACGCAATCCAAACCAAAGCGTACGGGTTAGTCGAGTTGATACTTTGGTACATTAAAATATTCTTCTAACATTGAATATGTTATTTTTTTTACTCATTATTTTTTTTTCATCATTAACCATTTGATACAACTTATTCATACTTTTTAAGTATATCACATTCAGTTAATTTTCTCAACATACATATATACATATATATAGGGTATATTTCAAATACAACCATGTCCATTTGTACAATCAATGCAACCCAATTAATTGAGATATTTATATAAATGATGGGAGTTCATTTATTATGATTTGAATATTCATGGAATATAAATATGGTTCATTAATTATGATCAATACTTTATGTTAGGAAATAATCAAAACTTATATGAAATCACATATTCATCAAATTAAATGGACGATTGAGATTGAGTTGTATTGGTTGTACAAATATAAAGGGTTGTATAATAACCCACCTATATATATATATATATATATTAACAATTACTGAACATATATACGAATGAGTTATACAGAGAAGTGAATAGATTAAAAATATGTGTATATGAAGAGCGTATGTGATAATGTATATACTAATAGCAATTCAACAATCATATTAAATCTAAGAAATAAAAGAATATCAGATTCATCGAGTTGGATTGAATTCAAATAATAGTAGCTCAATATCAACCCAATACATACGATTTAAATTTTTTACAACTAGATTAGATATCGGGTTGCTTCAGGTTGAGTTGATCGGGTTGGTCGGGTTTTTGATCATCCTTAATTTTGACCATTTAATCATTTTGCATCAAAATCATACAACAACTGTCACACAACCCCTTAATTAATTTAACAAAAAAGAAGTAACTTCGTTAGGTGAGGGATAAATTAGGCAACAAAATACAACAAAGGGATGTTACGTGATTATTTTACTTCAAGGACCTACTATATAAACTTGTGTGAAACATAGGGACAAAAAAGGCAATTCACTCAATTACTAATTATGATTATATTTTGTAATTTTATTAAAATATTAGTTATAAATTAAATTTTTTTTTTGAGTAAATAACAATCCATGTAAGCGGGTTTTCACAAATATCGTCCTTCTATTTCGTTTAATACTTAGATAACCTAGTGATATACATTTTTTTACGAATTTGGTCCCTAGACGAAACGACCGTTGACCATGTTCGTTAAATTTGTGGGCATAATGATATTTCCCCCCCTATTTTTTGCATTTTATCTTTTTTTTTTTTAAATTACCCTTTTTAAATAAGGACCAAAATATACGAATTAAAGCTTGGAAGGCCACAATTTCAAAACTCTGAAGATCCTTCTCTCTTTTATCTGTCGTGATTCTCGTTGATGCTCTCACTTTGTTGCTTGCAACTAGAGATGGCCAAATGGGCCCGGCCCGGCCCGTAACCGATGGAGGACCGGGACCGGGACCGGAGAGGGACCGGGACCGACCGGGACCGGTTGAGGGACCGCCGGTTATGATCCGGTTAGGGTTTTTGACGTTTTTTGGGACCGGGACCGGTTATGTAACCGGTTATAGGCCCGGCCCGGTCAACGAAAGTCAACGAAACGTATATATATAATAAACCGTATTTTTATTGTGTATTTTTAAACATATTTACAACAAAACGTATTTATAAACGTATATATATATATATATATATATTACAAAACGTCTTTATAAACGTATATATATATATAACAAAACGTATTTATAGTAAAATGTATTTATAATAAAACATATTCAAAATATCATATTACAAACATATTAATAACATATTAAAAATTTTAAAAAAAATCATTTTTTTTTAATAGGCCCGGTCGGGACCGGTTATGGGACCGGGACCGGTTGGGACAACCGGTTACTAATAACCTTGACCGGTTACAAGGAAAATCACCGGGACCGGGACCGGTTATGTCGGGACCGGTTACCGCCGGTTTTTGTCGCGATTAGGCCCAGTAGGGACCGGTTAAGGCCCGGCCCGGGACCGAATTTTGGCCACCTCTACTTGCAACCATCACCTGCACCTCGTCATCATTTTTCCCTCTGTTCTTTGATCCCTGTAGCAACAAACCACTACCATACTTACGACTTTCTCCTTTTCTCCATTTTGCTAGAGATGAAAGGTTCTACC